TATTCCTAGAGTAGAGTTAACACTTTCTTTCTATAAAAGAGGTGAATATTTTGTAGTAATATTAGAGGTTAGAGCACAGGTGGAGACCAAATAGCTTAGACCATGAAAGAAAGAAGAATATATAAAATATATCATTTCCATAATATATAAAAACGTTCCAGCCAAGTTTACTAACCTCTAATATCTCCTTTAGCTCTTTTCTGAGTGTAACACATTCTTGCAATAAGCCCTTTAATTAATTATGGTAAAAGTCACGTAATAGTTATTACTTTTCACTGGCTTGATTACAAATGTGAACTGAAGTGTCTTACCCGTATTATATTGGCCTGTGAAGGGAAACTGCTTCAATGGACTGTGACAAACCTTGTGGACTTATAAAAATAAAATTTTAGAGAATTTTGCAGTATTACTCCTTCATTCGCTGCATATTTTAGAGTTAAGTTTGTTTCTAACGAGTCTTTTATAAAACTGTAAGATATTAGATGTATTAGAAGCACTATATATTCAGAAAAATAATATTCCAAAGACCATCTCTCTAAATCAAAGACTCAATTATATGTTTGTAGTTGCTCTGAAAACACTGTTTAAAATATTTTAATCTCTTAATACCTCTTCTGCAATGTGTATCTGAAAATATTTCTTCTCTTTTGGTTTGAACCATTTGAAACGCAAATGTTATTTATTTAAAATGGATCAACCGTACTTTTGTTTTATTTTCCATTCTGAGTACAATCAAACATATGCTCTGTTGTTCGAGAAATAAGCCAGTAATTATTATTGCGTGTATAAACAAGAGAGAATTTGTCATTTGTGTTTTGTTACATTCAATGAGTGCATTTAGTCAGATTCTACTTAAAATAGGTTTTAGACCTACCTAGAATTGAGTAAAAACTATAATTGTATCCAATTTTCATCTTCATACATTTATTTAATATTCTGTTTGTACTATAAGCAGTGTCTTTGAATTATATCTTGTGTTTTTGGTTAGTTCAAATTTTCATAAATTGTGACCTAAATATCTCAAATATTGAAAATATAACCAATCAAAACATTTCTACCATAGAGAGCAATAGTTTCAACAAAATAAATTATATGAACCTTATTATCATTTAAATTGATGGGTTGAGTTATCCCGGCAAACAAACAGAAGTATCAATATTGCAAATTTTATATCTCTTTTCATACTGAATGCAAATGAGGCTAATGAGTTAATGAATAATGTATTACAGTACGCTTATTAATTAACTAATTATAATATTATTTTGCATATTTAAATACACCCGAATGTGAATGCAGCTTACTCCTGTCGCGACTACTTGCATTTGAAACATATGTTTTGATTTTTAGGTGTACATCTTGGAATACACTTTGAGTGTAAGTCTCAACATTTTCCAATTTTTTTCAAAAATGGCTTAAAATGTTTTTTTAGATAGAGCAAAATATGCTTAAAACATGACATTGGTTACATTTTTGTTGCATTTCAGTACTTAGGCAACGCCGCGCCGTGACTCGGCAGTGTAAAATTGAGAATCCGTTTCGTTGTTGGGAGATGTTTATGACGGCGTGTGTAAATTGGGGACGAGAAAGAAAATATGAGTTTTATCCTAATGTAAATTGGGAACCGACCCAGAGAAGGGCTTATGTCAATTGGGTTCTGACTTATTTTTAGGTACACGTAAATTGAGACCCGACTACCTCATCTCCTTTCAAGTAAAATCGGGAGGTGAGACAACTTTCGACGATCATCTCCTTGTGTCATGCTGGCTTATATATTTTTTTTACTGACACCTCGACATATTTTTCAGTAATCGAACTACTTTTTCATCCTCGTATCCACTGAATGTTTCACTGAAACTTTGTTCTGTGTACATTTCCGGATTTGTAAAACCAAGAAACCGAGAAATTCTCGTTGATATTCTCCCAATGATGCTGATTCCAACTCTTTGTTTGGTACATTTACCTATTCTATACCCTATGAATAGATTGCTGTAAATTATATTTTCGGGTCTCAATCACATACTTTGTGAAAACTGTAAAAAATGTATCTCATTAATAACTGTGAATACTCTTCTCTGATTATTTTTCGTATGTGATATAGTAATAATCAGTTGAGATTCTACATCTTCTGAATCATCGTCATATATGAAATATAACTTCTATTGGCAGCAATTTCCTGCAATGATGTCGACAACTTTCAACAAAATATATTCCTCGTCTGATGCTTCCTTAAACGCTGGTTTATTTTATGTCTCGTGTTTGTTTTTGAATGAGTGAGCAGATAGCTAACAGATTGTTTCTTTAAAGAGGCTATCAACTTAAAAAATCTTGACATATCCGTATTATTGTTCATCAAGAACATAGATTTGAATAGTACATACCCCATTCATTAGTACATTATTAAATAGTACATTGCCCACAGTGAAAAATGTATTTTTCGACCGAAAATAAATTCTATGATTAGAATTTGTAATGTTTCTATAGCAAAACGAGCAATAGATATTCTGGTCGTACATGTAAGCTAACATTATATCGTTGATACTTTTCAACTTTACATTCGTTTTCCATTAGCAATATCAACTTCATCTTGTATCTTTCATCTGATTTAAAGGGAATTGACTGGGAATATCTGGGAACTTTAAAATCTCTCTTGAGAACACTTACATATTTTCGGTATATCTATTCATGAATTGCTGAAGTTTTTAGTGAAAACTCACTAATATATACATATGTTATATTTATCTCTCTGAGCAGAGTGTGTGCAAAAAGATCCGCATATGTTTTGGTATTCTTGTATGATATTTATGTTTACACTTGCGTGAAAAAATGCTAATCAACTGGGTGCAATTACTATACGCAATTCGAGAAATTTTGATTCCGAGTTAATTATTTACGAGTTAATTAACTTCCCTGTCAAAATTTCACGATTTGAACTCACGTTTGATCTTCAAATAGTCAATACCTACCGCTGTTGGAATTGCAATAGTGACGCTTTCAAAGTACGTTTTTTCCGGCATGTAAATAAACAGAGGTTACTTCATACTCCGAAAGGCGTGGGGACTAGGATAGCAAATACTTAAAGAAGCATGAAACATGTTCACTCAGTATTGCAATAAAAAACCTGGCGACCAGGTCCTCTGAAATAAAATATTGACAGTTTATTTTCACTTCCTTGTGAATAGAAATCGGAACTTTTAGCCAAGACCAACACTGCTTCGAAATGGTTGTATAATAAATTAAAATAGACGTATGTGAAGCAATAAAATCTTGAATTTAATTACATTTGCATTTACCTCTAAGGCAAAAATGCCCTAATAGAACTTGAAGAAATAATTCGTGACGAGGGGATCCGCAGATAAGGCGAAGAATATTCTGACGGTGAATCCATCGAGCTATGACTAGATATGTTTCCATTCGATGACCACTACTGATGTCGTTAACCCATTATCTATAATTTTGATAAAATAACCTTAAATGTCATTTATGATATTTTTTCAAAAGCAGAATAATATATTTTCAAAAAATACCAATGTTTTCATGGTCCATTTCACGGCAACGCAGTGGGCTTTCTTATAGCAGTATAGCTCTGAAGAAGGCCACGGCAAAATGGCCGAAACGTCAGTACAATTGACCGAGACGTGGCTCATCCCGGATCGCCAAGAATTCATTGACTTCAGCCGCGGAAGCCTACGAACGCTTACTGAAGGAGCTCTCCCACCGCTGGAAAGATGACACGAGTATTTTTGTAATATTTTTTATCAACCGGTGATGTTTAGTTTTCTAAAGAGTTGTCATTCATTTCTTTGAAGTCCTTGTTATAGGTACGCATATACGGAGTAATATATGTAGTTAAGAAAAAGTTAAATAATGCTGCGGAAAATCGATTTCGACATTTCAACTGATTCGCAGGTTCAACGGGTACGAACGAAACGGGCGGATGAGAATGGACGAAACACTCATTTCGGAGCCGAAAAAGTGTTTTTTAAACATTCGTCCGTCTGTGAACAACACTAGTGCTGAACTATTTGTAGTATTTTTTTCAAAATTAATATTCTCCGGTCCATCAGTTCTGATACAAATCTCTGCGATTTTGAAAAAACGTTCTAGAAATTCTGGAGGTACTTTACATGAAGCCTTGAGAGAATTTTGAAAAGTTTCTGAAAATTCGCTCCACACTTTTTCTTTTAATTTCTTGCAAGAAAAGAGTTAAAAACTCGAGCACTCGTTCACAAAAATTGCATAGGACTGATTTTCCCAGTTAACTTTGAGTTTTTGTCGGAAAAAATGCCGGAGTCTTCATACAACTACAATATTGGACATAGCTATTTTTTTAAATGAAATTTGTGGTCCACAATTACTTCTTTAATTAGCATCCTTTTCGTAGTTTAAACGTTGTAGTTTTTGTGCAATTTTGAGTGAAATGTAGGCAATATTAAAAATATTAAAAACAATATTTTTTTAAACGTCTCCAATTTTCTAGGAAAAGTTTTGTAGGGATAAAGTGATTATGCATTTTCGGAAGCGCTCAAACGACATTTTCTCAATAGGCTCCAAATTTGCGAATACAATTTGCTTACAGGACCAAGTTTCACTCTCCCATGATATTCTTGAAATCATATTTCAGTTCAACCATTAGAGGGCGGAAAAATGAGGTAATTTGAAAAAATATCTTTTAGATGGCAGCTGGGAAGACGGTGTGACATATCCGCAAACTAGCCAAGCCCAAAGAGATTAGAAAACTTACTAGTGTGGGAAAGTCTGTGCCATTATGTAGCACCACTAGTTTAAAATTATTTTCTCCCTCTTCAAAATTTTTAGCATTTTGTAATATTCTTTCAAAAATGTTCAATTTAAACAAAACATTAATTGTTATTTTCTCGTCTTTTTGAAATATCGAACCTTTTTATATAACGAAGTTATATATCAAGGGCAAGTACTAAAGTTATCAATTTTTCCGCAATTGGTAGCGATTGAAGTAACACCATTTCTTTTTCCTTTTACAGATATTCAGGAGTTCTACGAATTGACACTTCTGGACGACACCAAGTCCATCCAGCAGAAGACTGCAGAGACGATCCGAATAGCCAACAAATGGGAAGCCAGCGACGGACCCATCACACCCACCTACGGAAACAACGACGTGAGTGACATTACCTTCTTTCTATTTTCCTTGGAGATGCGAGTTTCTTTGTATATTTCTCTTACAGCAAATCATATAAAAAACAGAAACATTTTCTGTCGGTGAATTCTGATTTTTTACTGTGGTGAGTTGTATTGTGTTGAGTCGTTCTCGAAATGTCATATGATATAGTAAAGAGTTGTGATACATTTGAGAAAATGAGAAAGATTTTATAACAATGCCTTCTACCAGCCTATTGGTATTTTCGTGACTGTCCATAGGTATTAGATCATGCACTACTTACTATATTTGAGTAACTGGAAGTTAGAATTATTTTTACGTAATATGAAGTTGTATTGTTCCTAGTATTTTGAAGCGAGAACGAGACTAAAAACATAAAAGATCATCTAACAGATTGAATTAAATTGTCTACACAATTTAGAGAAAACTCATCTTGATCGCGACCGCGTGTTCGTTTTCTATTTCATCAAAAGGCTTCATCCACTTTATGGCCTTCGCGGATTCATTTAAATTATTGCGCATTTGTGGAAAGGATAGCAGCACAGTTTACCCAGTGCGGGACTTAATACATTAAGTTTTGTTTACGAAGAGGCTTCTGGGTTTGCAAATTTAATGAACTCCTCGAGAACACAGCGCAGCAAACTGCGAGTGCGCTCAGGGAGATTCCTCCTCGCCACATGCTAGAGCGCTTGCAACCCTCAGAGCGCTCCTTTCAGACCCCGAGGCGATATGTCAGCTATTCTAAGGTGTTGAATGTATTTAAAATAAAAGGATCGGATCTTATTGTATTGATTATGAATCCAGTACCTAAATGTTGGCGGCTCTGTATGGAATGGACGAGTTATTTGATTTATGGTGATAGTTGGTGGTGATTGTATGGTAGGTGTAATGATGGATATATGGTGGAATGAGAAGCAGGCGAACAGTAGAAGCCCGAGAAAACCATCGGGAATGCCCTTTGTCCGTCGCAGATACTTCATGGGTCGTTGAGTATTTGAACCTTGAGAAGCGTCCACTTTGAAATGCTGAGAAGCTAGCGCTTGTGAACTTGAGACACTAAAAATTCTGAGTAATTTATTACTTGTCGTTCACGTTCTGTGTACTAGGTAGTGATGGTGATAGTGAACATAAGACAACGTCGCATCATCCTGTAAAAATAATGTATTTTCAAAGTATGTAATACCTCATAATTTATTAATAGTTCATGAGAGAATATTTAAATGCTTACTACTCCTTTTTAAAGGTCAGTAAATTAACATTGAAATTGAAATACATTTTTGGTTTGTATAAGTAATACAATTTCGGTGATCTGGTTACCAAGAAATCCTCACTCCACGAATGCTCGTGATATCTGAGCGCTGCACCCTGGTGTGCAGGGGGCGCTTTAGTTTCCCAACTTTGAATCAGATAAGACTGTAATGCTTCTAGTCGGATTGTGATTAGTGACGTGCACCCTCAGAGAATTGCAAGACGCAGAGCATAAGAATCCATGTCACTTCTTCGGGATCGGAGGCGGGTGTTATCACACCAGGCTTGTGTATTGCTACTGCGGTCGGAAAGGGCTGACGGCTTAATATATTGAATTGAATTGAATGAATTGAATATGCTTATTTTACGTGGCGGGACTCGGGCCATCAGGCCGCTCTTCCCGTTGACCACGCAAATTTCGCTACGCTCCTTTTTATATTACATTTTATTGAAAAACGATGTATTGCGCACAAGGACATAGAATTGAAAGATGTCACTTCTATTACGAACGGTTATTAGAAATACTGTGAAGGGCACTAAGTCACTTATTTAATTGAAAATGAATAACTATATGTAAACATTGTTTTTTTTCTATGTTCTATACCTTCAATTTGATTTTGAATCCACTAAGATTAAACTTACATCCCTGCATGTTTGGGTTTCACAAAGTTAAAATATCCAAACTGTGGACATGAGTTTCTAAATTTCAAATGATATCACCGATTGCAAGCAAAAATGTAAAATCCAATGTTGTGGATGTTATTATTCATCTTCTCTCGCTTTTGCTTCTTTGCTTCTCTTATTGCTTGGTTAATGTGTTTCATCTTATTTCTTGTAAAAGAATTCTTTTTTGTGTATAACCTCCCATGAATGTATCGGACCAAACCACTACTCATATTAGCGCTCAATGCGCAGCTTATTACTTTTGAGAAGCTACACAATCTTTAATTCGAAGGCTGAGAAAAATAATTATTTATGAATCAATAGAAAAAGAAGGCAAAATGAATACGTACCTAACACGTGTTTTGAAATATTTGATCTAGTCATTACATTATTAAAGAACTATCAGAGTAAGAATTCTGTATCCTCACCTAACCTTCAATGTTCATTTACTTTATGTAGTAAACAAAGAACAAATTTTTGGAAATATATTTGAATATTTGATACAACTGTTTTACACTTTTAATTTTGCGGGATTTTGCATATTTTCATTCATATAATAAAGCTACTATTCCAATGGTGATCTGATTATTAACAATTCCCAAAATACTGGTTTATTTCGAGAATCAGAAATATTCGAAATTCCCATTTCACGATAGTATTTTCATTTGCATTTACAATATGCTTTCTCCGCCCTCGATCCATTGCTTTTGCATGCGGATCCAATTTACCCTAAAACGAATGGAAAACATAATATCGAAATTATTATCAACTAGTAATCGTGTTTCTGTATTATAATTCAAGCTTTGTATTCAGCGCTAAATACCGCTATGGATTCAAATGTGAAAGGAGTAAAGAGATCAGGCCAGGGCGGTGTGTGATACAGTTGTGGTGTGTTAAACAACAGAGCAAATTTCCTCGAATTCGTAGTTTTTATATTCTAAAAATCTTTTGATGACGAAATAGGAAAAAAGTGTGTTATCCCTAGTGTTAGCATAATGGCTGAGAAAGGGATCTTATTTGGTTAAAAGAAAACTCTCACAATTTCAAAGAGGGGGAAAGTCTTCTGCTAATTTCAATATTTGTCTATGAAAGTAAAATGAGAACAGGAATTGAGCAAATGACTTCAGAGAGAAAATAGTTAGCATCCAATTATTTCTTTCAATATATTCTGATAATTAAAAATTGTGGCCATGCTCTTCAGAGATTCTCATTTATGGTAATAAAAGCATAGAATAAGTTCAAGTTGCAATAGAAGCTTTTTCATACCAAAATGATAACTCTCATGAAGTAACCCTCCCAGGCGAAATTAATTCGTGCGCTAGTTAAGTAATTATACATTATTTCCATAGATCATATCAATCCTCATTTCACGCACATTATGATAATCAAAGGTTTGGTAATGACCGTTTATGTTTTAGACATCGCCCATTAATGATTAGTATCGTTGTCGATTCACCCACTGCACTTGCAAACTTCTCTTAGCTTCTGGAATGGCATCTTACTCAACCTTTAGTTTGTACATATTTTTTTAACTTCTTTGAATATATTGTGAAATTACGAAAATTGAATCTACGGTGTGCTACTTTGTTCCGTTGAAAATTGAACTTGGTGTTTCATGCCCGGATCGTAAGTCAAGACCATTTTTACAGTTTTTCCCTATCGCAGAGAGATTACATTCAGGAGTAAAATGGTGGGGTGTATTTCAACGTTTCGCGAATAAATAAGTCTTTTGGAGGGTTCCATGTGTAAATGTTTTCAGGAGCCGTTGTTCCAGAACCTCGCTGCCTTGTAGAACGCCGTGTCTGCGCTCTGTGCTTGTCGGGAAAAGGTTGACGGATGCCTCCCGCGCGGCGCCGTTTCCGCGTGCTTGTTTATGCTCTTCCTGAAGTGGAATTGTAGCGCTCGTTTCGCCCTCTGACTGGCTTTAAAGCGCATGGCGGTATCTTCTTGCGAACGTTAAGAGAACATTAGAAAACGAGATGCAAATATCTGTGCTTGCTCTGGAACGTTGTTACTATAGAAAAAAAATAAATTAAAAAACGTTACACGTATGTTGGAGCTGGTTCCTTTTATTTTGTTATTTTTGGTTTGTAGGTAAACGCTGATTTTAAGGGAATGGTATTAAGGTATAAAATGGCAAGAACGTGCTAGCTGGCTATTGCTAGACACTTACAAATGTAAGATATTGCTTTTATTTGAGTTAATTACTTTTTCAAGTTAATACTGAGAACCATATTTTATATTTAAGTTTGTAAGAAGAATGGTAATTATAAGGAGAAAGTATCAAAATAAAAATATGTTAATTTTAATACCTTAACTTATTTGTTGTTTTTTTCATGTCAGATTATAAATTCTTAACGTTGCCACAATAATTTGATGATTGAAGCAGATTGATTTTTTAAAAATATTCTGACTGCTTTACAGATCATTGTAATGGAACATGTGTTAACAGGGAATAGAAAAAATTCTATTTCGACTGCCTTCATTAGCAATTTATAGAATAATATATCCCTGAGTACAGAAAATTAAATTCCTAGAGGTATTCAAACCCTCTAACTTAACGAGAAATGGTAATGGTGTTACTTTAGTCAAAGTATGTTTCTTTATGAAAATTAAAGTATGTCGAAATGGAAATGATTCAATAATCCCAACGTTGTTTACTGAGGACTCGTACGTGACAAATGTACTCGAGGTGAAAGTAGGCAAACTCGCTCAAAACTAGAGGTTCTTAAACTCTCCCGTCTTAAATAATTGAAATGCTGTAAACCTGAAGTCTTCTTGCTGTTGATCGTCATCACCACAAACTTTTATCACTGCTCAGATTTTCCGATATAAAATACGACTTTTTTATGGAACATCGTAAATCCCATGTTTCCCAAGCTGCTCAGCCATCAAAAGTGCGCCCAATCCTCCTCATATTTTATGCATTTGGTTTACTTCACGGTCTTCTGCGGATCTTGGGAATATCTTCATACGTTTAGTTACGGCACAAGTGAGATGGGATGCTTCCCAAGAGCATATTTTTGATGTACTTGCGTGTAATGATGTAAATTTGATCGTGCTCTTATATCATTATTGCTTTCGTATGA